ATAGAAGAGATAGCGATCTTCGGATTTTATCAAAACATCTCTAGTCTATCCCCATTCAAACGGTATACTAATCTTATTTAAATAATAACAATAACTTCACAAATTCCTTAAATTAGTGCATTGACTCTACTCGGACTGATTTGCGAAATTTGTGTTTATAGCCCCTTTTTGTGTGAATAGCACGTTATTAAACACCTAACAGGTAAAAATTATTTGTCTTATGCAATATAAAACCTTTTCCCTATTGTTTTTCAATGTGGATTTCTTGAAATTAAAGACGAAAATAATTATTTTGATCGTTTATTAATTATTACAAATTTTGTTCAAAATGACCGCCTCGGCAACGTATACACTCACGACATCTTCTTCTGATTTCGACTGTTGTCGTATGCAGCCACATTTCTCTTTTTATTACTACAAAGGCGTTTTCTACTCGTAGATTAGAAGAGATGGCCCTATACAGTGGCCTGCACGTTCCCCAGACCTAATTCCGTTAGATTTTTACGTCTGGGGACGAGCTAAAGAACTGGTGTACGTAACGGATTCAAACATTAGAAGAACTACAACAACGAATAAAAAACGCCTTTGTAGTAATAAAAAGAGAAATGTGGCTGCATACGACAACAGTCGAAATTAGAAGAAGATGTCGTGAGTGTATACGTTGCCGAGGCGGACATTTTGAACTAAATTTGTAATAATTAATAAACGATCAAAATAATTATTTTCGTCCCCAAATTCAAGAAAGCCACATTGAAAAACGATAGGGAAAATCTTTTTACATTGCATAAGATAAATAATTTTTACCTGTAGGTATTTAACGTGCTATTCACACAAAAAGGGGCTATAAACACAAATTTCGCAAATCAGTCCGAGTAGAGTCAATGCACTAATTTAAGGAATTTGTGAAGTTTTTGTTATTATTTAAACAAGATTAGTATACCATTTGAATGGGGATAGACTAGAGAAGTTTTGATAAAATCCGAAGATCGCTATCTCTTTTACTTATTTTTTTATAGCCATGTAAACTTAAATGTTCAGTCCATTTTTAACTTTTCGGAAAACTTCAAAGTTGAATTAAACAAAACCTAGATGATATTTGCCAGTAAATTTAGATTTGATGCAACCCTACATCAATGCACGTCAAAACAAAATATTTACTTTGAAGCTACGCCTAGTAGTTTTTTTTTAAATCGAAAGTAAATGATGCGATTTGGGTATTTTGGTGAAATTACTAAAAAAATTAATTTAAAAGTAGCCGCCTGGCATGGAACGTGTTATGGGGGCTGAAAATATAGGTAATGACCCATTCTATCCGCCAAATTATTTTGGCACACGATGCGCCAAACACCCTGTATATTCAAAGATGAGTGTGCTTACCATAAGTTTACGTTAGGTGTGCTCGCTAGCGAGTACGTTAAAAAAATCTATGAAGATTTTATTTCTTGAAAGTAGCCGCTAGGAGCTTTTTACGCAGTCGCTAGCAAGCACTTCTAACGTAAACTCATGGTAAGCACACAGTGTAAGTATTTTTGATCGATTTCGCCTTCAGTTGTTCCAAGAATTAAGGGAAAACGTCACTATTTAAATACTTTATAATTTAAACAATCGATGATATTCGATTCCTGTTTTGATCAGTTGATAATTGCTTCTCAAACAATTCGGTAAATGAACGTTCGAATAACAAAGACAAGCGCTTCTTGCCCTCCTCAAGAACTGCTATTGTGTTACTTAACATACAATTTATTTAATTAATTCCCTCCGTAAAGGAAAACAATTATTAAAGAATAACGACAATTTCATCTTTGGAATTTGTCTTTCAATTCGTTATCTTACAAATTTATGCGTAGGACAAAGAGGAAAAGCTCGTACATACATCTATACTTTTGACCTAACCGTTATTTATTTATTTATTTGGTTTACCAATAATTGTTACCAATGCTTACAAAATATTAGATAACAATAACTTAGAAGTTAGAACAAATAGGTACTTAAAACCATCGGACATAATTGAGACTTACCATTCAATTCTAAATAAACTAATAAGTAACATTAACCGCGGCGGTACACTAACTTTCAACACAGCAAGTGTACACTTTTACTCCAATTCACAATTCAATCAACTCGTACGCGAACTTTTGTTGATTTAGGTATTCGTATTTCGTATCCAAGCCCTTTACAAACACCGATGCTCGAGATTGTTAGATCTGAATGAGAATATCAAAGCAAACCACCGTTCGCGTTGGTTAATACCAGAGTAAATACAAATGAGTAGGTCATCTTCATAGAAACGCACCAAGCGTGTTTAGTATGTGAGCGCGCGCCAATACGTATGCGGCGCGCACGCACACACTGACAAAATTCGGGGCAACTCACCGCTAATCAAAGCTAAATTTTGTCAGTGTGTGCGTGCGCGCCGCATACGTATTGGCGCCCTCACATACAAATCGCGCTCGGGCGTTTCTATGAAGATGACCTACTCATTTGTATTTACTCTGTTAATACACTACGTCACGTGATCCGTGCCACCTCCGACCCGTTGAGTATCTGACGTTCATACACTCACGTGCAATGAAACCGCTCCGTCGCGTTAAAACTGATCGATGACGTGTGCCTGTGTAATCCATCAACCGAAACACAACTCCTAAAAGGTTTTCGGGTCATGATATAGGTGACATTTTCATGTAGGCACCATTAAGCCATTAAGACCTAAGTTTGGTTTTCATTGTGTTGTAGTGTGTGTCACTTTTTTTGGAAACTTAAAAAATGGGTATGATTTAAATAAAATACGATAATAATATCAGCATTCCTAAATAAAGTGTTTGCTTTACAAGGCTACTCTTAATACTTTCTACTGGCTAATACAACACACAATAAAAAAAAATCACTAAATTAATTATCCTTAATTCCCACATTCACACCCGTATTCACAAATATTACTATGAGGTCTCACAGAGCGCGTGGACACACAGGGTCCCAAAAACCTATTCATAGACAATACTTGAGTGGCGAAGTGACACACACGAACCAATCACAGAGCTCTATTCAACGGTGTGCGTTCGACTTCGCATAGCGTTGCTGCTTCATTTAAGCAAGCATCGTTTGTGAAATCGCCTGTCATTAACGTCTCGTCTTTAATGGTAATATTATTGTGTCAATTTTTCTGCAAGTAAGTGTGATATTTGGGGTTCCTCCACCGGAGACCTACACGGCTCGTGTTCGAGGCGTGTGTGTTGGGCGTCCTAATGATCCCTCGTCATTACCCTCTGATAACAGCTTTGTTGCGGATCGGAGCTTCTTTGAAGTCTGATCGGCAACTATTGCCATGGCTACGTGGTTATTGGCAGACAACTTTAATGGATTACAAGAATCTTTATCTTTTTTTTTAAGTATTACTAAAATAAATTGGTTTTTATCTCTGATTGAAATATTGGAGCACATCGGTTTATTCAAGTCCCTATCGGAGCCTATGAAATAATTTCTGTACACAAAATTGCTGGCATAATTATTATTGTCCCTTTAATAAAATATGAAATAGGTATAAGGGTTAGCCTGGAAATAGAGCCTATCGTATTCTGATAGATACGGTACTCGTAATACAAATATTGTGTACGTAAGCATACATTATGTTTATATTGGTCTGGATGTTTCCTATGTTTAATAAGTAGATATGTACGAGTAGGTATAAAGCAATGAAGTCGGTTAAAAAAAGTATAAAGCAAACGCCCTGGAGAAGGTCTAACTAAATACTGAATGTAAAAACTTATCTTAATTCGCAAATATCCAACTAAATTCTGATTAAATTAAAAGTCTATTTGGATGGACTAATAAAAAATCTGTTTATTTCAGACCACGCATGATCCATAGACTAATAAACTAATGACAATAGCGCGTACATAGGGGAGAGTTCGGTATATTGTACCGCCGGGTAAATTGTACCACCCTCATATTTCGTAAAGTATTTATTGAATGTCTGTAATTGCAACACTCAGCGATACACAACTAAAATCAATTAATATCGGCCATGTGGTTTTGGCCGTGACAACAAACACGTGTGTTTTATTTTGAAAAGTATTTTTTCATTGTTTTCAAGTAACTTTTGACAATACATGTTTAGATTGTAATTTTGTTAAATTTAATCACAGGGTGTTTCTAATATATTACTTAGAAGCGTAAATTAGTGTGGATTACAATTATTTGAAACATTTTTCGGTATTTATAAGCTATATTTTTTACCGATTTTTTAAAAGCACTATCACCTAGTCGGCTAAATTGTACCACATCAAGTTGTATGGAACTTTACCAAAGGATTTTGAATTTTTTTTTAGTTAATCATATTTTGAAGTTATAATATCGTAGTTATGTTTGACTAACAATAAATGAAAGCAAAAGACTGGCAAAGTAGATTAGGTACAAGTGTGCGTTACGATAATTGGAATTACAAAACTTGTACTCAAAATCGTGATAACGTGTAAAACAATATCGATTGTCTATGTTATTAACTACTGTTCCTTTTCGTTTCCTAATTTGTTAAGAATGTATCGTATAATATTTTGCCATAGTTTTTTTAAAGGCTTGAAATTTATTGAAATCCAATTTAGTAACCCTGTGGTACAAATTATCGAACCGGTTGGCTAAATTGGACCGAAGCTCTGAACTCGTACTTTGTTGATTTGTGCTAAATATACAACAATCATGTTAATTAATACTTATGAAATAGTAAGTTGAATAATGTGTCTTTTATTATATACCATAGACATTAGCAAAAACAAAAGAAAACTATGTGTAAAATGGGATTGAAAAAAACTGGTCCAAATTAGCGGACTCTCCCTTATATCGTCACATTTTGTCAGGAACTAACATAATTGTCTCATCATAATTTTGCTCTACCATCCCTTCGAGACAAATACTTGGCCCACTGTTTGCCAATTTACGACAGAAAAAGTAGAAGTTACATAAAATAAAAATATACAGCTGATGAAAATAAAATAAAAATTACTTACTGATGACAGTAAAATTGAGCCTCGAGTTCCTCGTCGGCGAGTTCTTGAAGTCCACTCGGCAGCGGTAGACACCAGCGTCGCCGGGCCCCACAGCATCCAGAAACAGCACGGCCGGGCTCGCCGCCGCTCGGAAGTACGCTCGGGTCCCGAACACCGTCGGCGACGACCATAGCTTGGGCTGGCTGGCGAGCCGGCCGCGGACGTCATAACTGTGTAGAAAATAAGACATCTAAACTAGGAGTAATGTCAGCCAGAATAATCCAGCGATTGTTGGGGATCAGACTAGCGATTTTTGTCTAAAAATGTGTTGAGACGCGTGTTTCTCTATTTTAGCGTTTCTTATCTTGAATTAACAGTTCGATGCCGACACCGTTGGGCTATTATTGTAGCTTTAAATCTTTGACACTTCTAAAATGATTACTTTTATGAGAGTTCCTGTAAGTTAATGACAAGCTTATTCCCGGAGTTTCCGTGCGTGCACTTCAGTCTAACAGATATAATAGTAGTTATTTAGGTACTGCTCTCATGTTTCCCTGATCAAGAAAATGTAAGCGATACATTTTATAATTCAGTTTTTCATTTGGACAGTCGCAATGTTAATTTCATGCTTCGCTACTCTACCCATCAAATCGAAACAAAAGATACGATCCAAAAAGGTCCGAATACGCTGAATCGATCATCATTTAAACGAGCTGATGTAGCTGTTTCAGGAACACGTAGCCCAAAGAACAAACACTATATCCAGCAAAAAACAACTCCTCCACAGAATTTTAACTGCATTCGGCCGGCCACGGAATGGAGCCACAAATCAAAACGATATCTGCGAACACGAAAACCGCTCTTAGCGGAGTTTTGGCTTCGCGATTATAGCGGTTGTAAAGCGGCCGTCAATCCGATAGTGAACGATGAAAGTTCGGCGAGCGAAGCTATCAAGACTGTAGACTACATTTAGGATTTACAAATGTATCTTTTGGGTATGTTTATTAGTTGTGCATCAGACTTGCACTGAGTTGCTTATGATTTTTGTATTTATTCTATATCAGTAACTGGATTCTGTGGTGTCCTTGCAATAGACTATTTAAGCCTTAAGGTTATCTTACTTTCCTTTCCATCGTGAAAAGTTTCATAATTGTATTAAATGGTGACAGCAACCAAAATGAAACAATGTATCATGTGTGTGACATGTCACAAACAGTTAAACACCTGTAAACTATGTTAATTGTTAGGATGTAATTTACGTAGGCATTAGAAGATCAAATACCGTCAAAAACTGTTAATAACATTTTGTTAACAACCTTTACCATCAACCTACTCTTCAAACCAGTCTCGCCATTTATGTTCGAATTTTTATCGTTTCTACGCTCAATACAATTTAAAGCTAACTTGGAATTTTGTGTTTCCAATAATTTGAATTCAATAAGTCTGAAAGTCAAATTCTTTTTCAATACATTATACACAATTTTATTACCGACCTCTTACATTTATACGTCCCAAATATAGCTTACTCTACCTCCACTTTGTGATAACTACGAGTATATCGGCTATAACAGGTGGCACAACAAACAGAAGAAACATTATGGTATATCCTAGTGCTTAACTAAGTCAGTATCTGAGGCACGGGACCAGCACGGGAGGGGTGACATTGACATAATAATATTATGACGTGACAGAGCAAACACAACTGAAAGAAATCTGAAGTCATAATAACTTTTTAAAAAAATAAAACCGACTTCAAATGCGTGAACACAAAAAAAACTAAAAATTAAAAATATTGCGTATAAAAAAGTTCATCCCCAATTTTCCACCCTTGGGGGTGAAATATTTTCTTCAAATTCGCATGAAACCACCCTTTTGATAATACCTATTCAACAAAAAAATAATCGTTCAAATTGATTTATAATCGGCGGAGATATTGCGTATAAAAAAGTTCATCCCCAATTTTCCACCCTTGGGGGTTGTTTTTTCTATTATTAAATTTAAATGGGACCACCCTTGAGGTATTACCTATACGCCGAAAAAAGATTTGTTCAAATCGGTTCATAATTGGCGGAGTTATCGCGTAACAAACATAGAAAAAAAAAAAAAACATACGGGTCGAATTGAGAACCTCCTCCTTTTTTGAAGTCGGTTGAAAACACCCTCCCGTGCCGCTTCCATACATCAGGCTACTGAGTTAAGCTCGTTGCGGGTCCAATGACAGTAACTTTCCCCCGGGACAAACTTGACCTTCACTGATTGCTTTTTATTGGCGGTCAAGCTGTAGATCCTGGCTACACAGGAGTTGTAACAGTGGGAACGAGAGGTGGGAAAAGTCCCGTGAATAATATTAAGCGCTAGACCTCAAAACATAAAGTAAATTCTATGCATTGAGCAATAAAATACTCATCTAATTTACAGTAAACATGCATTTGCGTTCAACTAGATTATGCTGTATCAACTGTTCGGCGTGAGTTGATTAGTTCCCAATTACTAAGCACTGCAGCTCAAGTCTGCGGGATCCATTACTGCACGATTTAGTTTGCTGTAGTTATAATGAAGCTCTCATCTGCTTAGTTTTAATCAAAGTGGGGCTAAGTAATAGGGGTAAATACGCGTTTGTCGACGGTGATTTCGACGTATAGGCTATTTTAGACCCATGGACAACTTGGGCTAATGACTTTTTCTTAAATGTATGAAAAGCTGTAAACTCATTTTTTTAAACAATGATTACAGCACGGCCTTCGTTCACATTTAAGGTTACCTTAAAAGTAAAGGGGAACCAATTTCAACCCTATTGTTCTATTAAGAATTATTTCTGCTGAACAACGTTAATATCTCCTGAAAACTATTCAAACTCCAGTTACGAAATACTGAATTGAAACAACAGTAAATTATTGACGAAGTTCCCGTATCATACCATATAATCGTAAATCAGTCAGGCATGTAGGATCTTATAAATTCAAAATTGCAGGCGGAAGCATATCGGAATTTACGACTATAGTTTTCAACGGATTTAAAGTATGCACTGAATATACGGGAAAAATAAAAGTGCAGTTGATAAGACGATAAAACGTAAAATTAGGTAGGTACCTATATGATTGTGAAAAATCTTCTGAGAATGTGACATGTTCCACGTGTATTTATCTAATTAACACAAGATCTATCAATTATATTGAGGTGAAATTATAAACGTTAGAATATAAAAAGTTACCCACTCTACTTATGAAATGAAATTTAATTTATGTAGAATATTTAGGCATATCAAATTGTACTTATTACAGTTTATTTGCTATTTTAAATTTGAATGGAGAGAATGGAATCTTACTGTCGAAGGCCAAGAATTACTTTGGGTCGCTGCGCCAGCTTTTTTTTTATACCTACATAACAAGGCTTTATTCATTTGACCGCAATCGCACTTGGTGTTAAGTGAGATGTAGTCTAGGATGGTACATCTGCACTGTAAGTGCCTATTCACTATTCATAGCTTATTAGTTAGTTAAATTGAAATGAACATTAAAGCAATACTAAGTCTTGGGTCACTCTGGTCTAGTGAAATAAGTTGGCCTCGTATGCTCAGAGGTTCTGGGTTCGCTTCTGTTTTAAACTCTCTTTGTATAATTTCCAGTTTGGTTTACAACTTAGATCAAGAAGTGGTGTACCTGTAGAGAGGCTCTCCATCGGCCTCCTTAAACCACAGCACCATCGAGACGTGGTCGCCAGCCGCCAGAGGCTGGATGTCGCAGGGCAGCGCTGCCTTCTTGCCCAGCACTCCTTGCACGTGCGCCGTGGGCACTGAAACAAGACAAAAGCCTGTTAAGGGAAGAAAAACTGAAAATTATTGAGTAAAAAAATTGGGAGAATACTTGAATGAGGCTTTAGACACTCAAAATGTTTATCTATAATTTGAAACTCAGCACAGAAGAAAGTATTTTATAAAGAAATTCCTTTCAGCTGGCAATTGTGAAATGAAATTAAAGTTAAATAAAATAACCCTCTACTTTTAAATTAAAAGACAATAAGAGTAGGCGCACACCGTTGATTTTTAGTTGGCCGATAGTTGTGCCCGATTTTAATTTGTATGAAGAATCGGCCAAATCGAATCGGCGTAGTGTGCGCACTCCCATACATGCCCATACTGATCAACTGCCCGACTAAACTATCGGCCGACAAAAATCAACGGTGTGCGCCTACTCTAAAAGTTTGTTTCGGAAAAGTGGTATCGACGAAAAATTTCGAATTCATAAGAAAAATATAGACCTAGGGTACCCCAATGATAAGTGAACAATTCAGTAACCTTTGTGTATCAAATAATAGCACAAAAAATAACGATGTAAAGATGTACTCATAGATCATAATAACCTGTAAGGAGATAAATTAATGAAGATAAAATCATTTGTCCGAGGCACAGGGAAAACGGGGCCAGAGTATTAAATAGGTAACGTTTGTAACTTGATATTAAAACCAAGCCTATTTTTCATGGGCATTGTGTTCGTCCTTTTTTCAGCCTGTACAAAATTCAGGGTCCTCGAGCTCTACTTCGTTTGGAGACATTCCTTTGACATATCCGACACTGTACATTTTTCACTGCTATAGAGGCTTGCTCAGGTTGCTATTTTATTTTGTCTGTCGAAAAAATAACATCAATATAAAGATAAAAAACTTTTTTGTTTTCAATACAAAAGGGGTGAATCGAGTGAACAATGTACCTAAGCCAAAAGAGTGACCTAGGACCCTGATGACAAAGCTTTTTTTTTAATAAGACAAAGTTTATTATTTCATGCGCACAATAAAAACTACACTTTGGTAGTAAGTCCCGTGGTTTGACCCATTTCAAGGCTTAATATTTGGCCAGTAACTATACATTAGTGTATTGTGCTTCACCGCTTTTATGTGCTTTGATATGCCGCAGCGCGTTTTGTTAGACTGATCATAATATTATTTACTAGCTTCCACAGATAATGCGGTATAATGTTTATCATTATACGATATTGTTTTGTAATAATTTATATTCTACCAAATACACATTAATGTATTCAAAGCTATAACTAGTACTATTTAAGTGTCTCACGTAGGTGCTTACAAATCGCCTACTGGTATATGGTACAGACAAATGGCCGGCGCAAGGTGTAGCGTGTAGAGCGAACGCGACAAATAGAGCCGTTGCGCACGCGACAGTTACGGATGAAGGCCGTTGTTACGAGACGTTTGGACATACATTTGGTTGTATTTGATGTAAAATATGAGGAAAAATAAACGTCTTACTACAGGACTACAGTTATTGCTCGTAGAATGAAACAAGAACTTAGAAATTTATGTTGGTTTAGACAAATTCCTCATGAAAAACCGTTTGAAGAATCTTGTCGGCCGTTTGGTGTAGTGGTTCGGAACGGACTACTATTGCCGAGAGGTAACGGGTTCGATTCGAATTCGAATTGAAATGATGAATTTTAATTTCTGTGATGGGTCTGAGTGTTACTTTGATAATAAGTATGTATTTACAAAAAAAAGTATTTAAGTATGTTTATATCCGCTGTCTAATACCCATAGTACAAGCTTTGCTTAGTTTGGGACTACAAGCGTAGTGCAAAATGTCCAAGGATATTAATTATTGTATCTTGACTGTAAAACTGTTTTAAAATGTCTCTAGAGATTCGATACTTTTTCACTTAACAAAATAACGTATAAAAACCAAAAAAAAGTTAGCTACTTATCTATAAGTAGTGGCCAGCAGTAGTGACTGACTGAGATTCAACGATCAACATTGTCGATGTCAATTCTAGGTGATATCGCATTACAATCGTAGGCGTGTCGGTACGCTACATGGTTTTATTACAAAACCGGCTGCCACTCGCGTGGACCCCGGTTTACCCCCTTAGGAGTTGAATTTTTGCAAAATCCCATCTTAGTGAGCACCTACGTTCTTAAAAGAACCCCCATACAAAATTTGAGACTCCTAGCACTCATAGTTTTTGAGATTTCGTGATGAGTGAGTGAGTCAGTCAGTCAACCAGTCCAGTGATTCCTCCTAAAGCTATATCCTAAAGCTTTTATAGATATAAGATAATAAATAGTAATACAATCTTAAACCAAAGTTCCCAGCCTACCATGTCTTATCATAAACACAAACTGAGCTCAACTCATGAACAAACACGGCAAACCCTCAGTTAGTAATTAAACTTTCAGTTTATTCATAAGCAATTTGATATTTAGGGTCGTTCGTAAACGGTTCACTAGTCACGACTTAAGGCAAGCCTGTTGTAATCTGAGATCTGACGGTGTGTTGAGTTAGTACATCTTTAAATTAAACGTAAAGTAGGCCTAATACTAAAACAAATTATAAGTAACAAGACTTTGGAAAAATAAGTCAATTAAATAAATAAGAAATTGTGCCATTGATATTGGGACACAACACAGTTTTTCATCACTTAACATAATTTTGTAGATCTTTCAAGTACCTACTTAGTTGTAGATTCAAATTAAATGTTCTAATAATGTGCAATTTATCAATACCGCACGGCCAGTCAATTGAAAAAAAATTATACCTACGTCTCCAATAGAAAAACCCTATCTTCACTTCCTTAGTTCTATAGAGGTATATGTACATTGTACAATTTACAGGGTTATGTAATAATATTGTGGGATCCAGGTTGGCAAAGGCCATCATTGTGTGAGGTAGGTATTTCGAGATCTATGGATCTAACATTGATATTTCTGTGCGTATGTGTCTACCAAATATAATCTCCTCTTACAAACTTAATGGGTATCGAAACATGACTGGTCCAATGAAGTACAATCGAACAGAACCGGGGCGCGTGTGAAGTGAGAGGCGACACCGTGCGACTTGACGCTTGACTGGTCCCGGGTTTGATACCCGAAATCCGAGACGTGGGAATGTCCTGAGAATCCAATTGAATTTCGCTTTGTAAATTTAATCAACACCATTTGATCTAATTGAAGCCTTGTTTAGCATCAAAGGTCTATTAATTTTGACATTGCGAAACATGAAAACAAATACTCGTAAACAAGTCGGAGTTAAGTTAAAAGTCAATGTCTGTTATTATTGTCGAGTCGTGATTTTGGTTGAATAGAAATTGATTAAAACACCAATAAAGTATTTAATTCAGGTAAGTTGAATAACACAAACAGTGTTAAATACTCGTAACAATTCACGAACTTTTACTTACAATGGCCTTGACTACGTACCTAGTAACCTACCTAGCCCACCAGTAAAACATTTCAATTTTCTCCCAACTTTGTTCACGTGCCTAGATTTCAATTAAAAGTAGGCATAATTAATATAAGCATAAATAATATACTACTCTAGGGATATAAACATATTATAACACAATCATTTCTGTATTTTTTTTGCGTGAAGAAGTAACAAATACCTACTCACCATTTTACCCTCAAAAACATTCCCGTTTGTGTAGGTAGTGGTACTATACATAGATACAGTTAACTATATTTTATTATTGCTAACCATTCTTTTGGCCCGACAGTTGGGGAAAACGTTTATAAAATCACTCAATAGGAAACCCGACAGCCAATTTTCCCTCCGAGTGTGTCATGATTTCTAACAATTTTGCGTGTCTATCGGACCACAATGAAGTGTTGGTTCCGTAGCTGGAAGACATGTGGATTTGATTCAGAACATTTTATTTCCTGAACAATAGTATCGGGTTTACAAACTGCTATGACCTTTCCCTTTCAGGCTTCAAGTTATAATTCGTTTGCTCGTGAAATCGTTCAACTTTATGATTGCGTAGATTTGTTTTTCTGTTCCTGAAAGCGTGAATATAAGGCTTGTACCATATGACTCTACTATTAAGTTCACTTTTTTGTTTGCTACTGGCTTTCAAATTTTTTCAGTCAGTATTTTTGGAGCTTTTAAACAGCATAAGAGCTTACACGCGCAATGCAAGTAGCTCTTCAAAAATTCCTCTTAGTCCGGCATATACGAGCTTGTTAGCGCGTGTACGTTAAAGAAAACTCTGCGTTGGCATAAGAGGCGTATAATTATACCTACTGACTCTTAAAAACACGTTTGATAAGCAAAAACCCCTCCAATGAAAAATACAAAGTCTGCATTGGTGACGGCAAAAATGTGACTGTCAAAGTATAGAAAATGTTTTATAGTCGGCAAATATTTTAGTATAGAATGGAAAATATTTATTTGACATGAAAATACAACTCCAAATGAACAAAGAAAAAACACAGCGACGACGCAGGATCAGTATAAATATAAACACGCGGATGCACAAGCGTGCCCCGAGTTTTTTCAGTTGGTGCCTCATCAGCCAACAACCGTTGAGTATTTTTACATTAGGCTGAGTTGCACCACCTATCTTGAATGGTAACTATGACTATAACAGGTGCGTGTGGAGTTTTACAGATTTTTGACGTTTGTCAAAGCTAAAGTAAGATGGTGCAACCCAGACTTAAGTACCGGTTATTTTTATTGTTACAGTTAAAATAAGGTGGTACAACTCAGCCTTAGAGATAACGGCACCCATTATCGGTACGGTATCGAATGCCATTCGTACGTAAGTAATACTGGCACTATAACAGATTTTATATTAGCTATTAGATAAAAAAATCTGTTACAGTGTCAGTATTATCAAAATGATATCAAAATAAACCCCCTGCGCTAGTGTTATGTAATGTTGGAAATAACAGAATATTGCCAGCTGAACCCTAAAGACGTGTCCGCGTCCGTCCATCCGACTGTCGGCGGCACGCGCTCTCTAATCCGGCGGTCGCTGAACACAAAAATGTGGGAACGGCTGAATCAG